TTGTACGTGCCCTTGACCAGGTAAACTGGGTACAAAGCGGTGGTCCGAGCAAGTTAGACATGACCTTGCGAATGTACTCCTTTGGACTCTGCCCCCCTAGTAAAGCCAGGTGTTTCGCCTGACCTCCGTTAATAGGAAGAGATAGAGTACCGTGCGCGTGAAGACATCGTCGTCAACAGCAAGCCTTCGCGTGAAGTCTTCGTAGGCTTCCACGGTTCGGAGAGGCAGGGGAATACGATTATTATCGTCCGCAAGCGGTGCATTGTCATTCTTGTCGGACTTCCTTTGACGCATTTCCAAGGGGGGCAATTTCGTGAATACCAACTTTATGCTATTTCGCTGCGGTCAAAGTCTTTATGTAGATTGATACAGTGGCACAAACGGAGGTCTTATAATGGATATGATGCTTGTTGCATGGCCCTATTTGGTGTAAGAAATGTCGCACTGAACCTCCGGGTTGCAGCTGATTGGTAGCACGGGCGTCCTACAAGAAGAAAAGCGTTAAGGCACGCTGCAAAGACTCCGTGGGGACAAGATGGTGAGGCAACTAACTGTAATGCATCATGTAAAACGTCCTTGTTCGTGCAGCGTCCAACACGAGATACTAATTAAACTACACGCACTACTTTTCCCGCTTCTTTAAACTCAGACCACGGGTCCGTGATTTAGATTGGAAGTGAATTTTGTGCGATCAATTCGTAGTTGCCGGCTGTCGAAATATCTGTACGCACATACACAAAACCCTCCAGCTCTGGGTAAGATATCTTCCTCAAACACATGACGGCATTTGCAATCGGCCGCGAGGGCGTCGAAGGAGACCTTGTCAACGTATCACAAGTGTCAGTTCCACACAAAATACGCCCGGCTGTTTCGGTGATATGAAATCCGTTAAGCAGAGGAATGGAAAGCAACACACTCCTCTTATGTTTAATGCCAACGAGTATGTCCGGTAAAGCGAAATTTACTTCGACTGACTTGCGCTATACTATCTTCCCAACGCTTGTAAATTAAGAGGATTGCGTAAACTGCAGAGCAATATATTTGGAATTATGCAAAGCAGGAATAGCCAATAAAATAAGCTGGCTTAATTAATCAAAAAAATCA